CTGCCCTGCTCTTCAAGAGTGGCAATGCTGACGGCTGGCGCACGTCATGGGACCTTCTTGTTGCGCTCCGAATAGCTTCGCAAATAGCGATCGACTGTTCCTGCCCGGGAGGGTGGTAAAGGGTGACAGAAGTCGGTATTCCAGTGCTACCAGGCCCGCGGCGCGGCAGGGAACCGGGACCATTCCTTCGGGGGTGGTAAGTCATTCGCCAACCCTCTTGTGTCATGGACCTGATGCTAACTCACGAACAAACAAAACCACTCTAGAAAGTCGGCGAAAGACAGACTTAGTGCAGTTTGGTGGGATGTTGGACGGCCGGCTTCCGTGATGGAGATGCAGTTGATTTGGTAGACCGGACCGAGACTGGAGTTGGAAAATACGGGTCGATTGGGAAATCAGCGGGAAGGTGTTGCAAACGGCAATTTGCCCTCTCGCGTACCGCACTTTCCTCTGACGAAGTGATCCTCACTCATGCGATGGCGCGATCGGCTGCAGCTCTTTTCGGAGATTGTGGGTTCTGGCGTGAACCGTTGGAGCGCCCAACGGAGTGGAACAGAAATGCACATGCAGGGCAAGCAAACAAGGTCCCAATCCATTAATTCACCGACATACTGCCTCGGGCCGTGCTTCCGCGGGCTGCGTTCTATGACCTCACAGCGATGTTACTGAGCTCTTGGTGCTGATTTGATTTTCGTCCAGCATCCTACCTTATTTTGCGCGATCGGTGCCTCGGTTTGTCCCGAATTGACATAAAAAGTGGCATCGGCTCATGATATTGCGACGGCCCAACACCAACCTAGAAGCCATCTAAGCTGCCAAGGTGGAGCTCGTGGCAACGGCCTACGCGCCCAAGTCTGTGGAGAAAACAGAAAGGGAAAACACCTCGATTTCTTGGGTCCGCAAAATCATGTCGTGCGGGACGAGCTAGTTTGTCGATGAAATGGTCGCTCAAGAGGGACCACTAAGCCCTTAGCTCTTGGGAAATGAGGTCAACGCTTCTGCGGTTTGATGGCATCAAAATTCAGTTGTCTCGATGATTGACGCGGTTAGCCGAAATCGCGGGGGCGGGGATGAATTGGGGATCGTCAGGTTCACCTTGACAACAACCCCGGCTCTCCCCTCATGATTCCCCGCATTTGTCGGTGCCATCAACACCGAGCGCGTTTGTCCGGATGCTACGCTGATTCCAGGGCTACACACCGGACGAACATGGGTTCTCGAGGGCGCACAGGGGTTACTTTGCGACGTTTAAAAAGAAGAGAGACGCTGTCAAATCCAGAATAAGCTTGAGACGGCTTTCGAGTGGTATTGCCAATTGGTCTGTTGCGTTGCATCCGATTCGGTTATCACGATGAGATTCGGATTGAAAGCCGGTGGCCTTTTGTGGCTCGCGGCCTCGCTTTGCGGGTCTGGCCGTGCTTTGGCTCAGGAAGACGTTGACTGGCCGATCCACGACAATGGCCTCAATGAAGTCGTCCAATGGTGAGACTTGCCGAAGATGTTTCATCGAAACAGGTACTGATGCAGGGACATGCAGGGATCACCACAGCTACATCGTCAATGGCGAGAGACTCTTTGTCTTCTCAGGTGAAGTACGGCCTCCTCCATCGCAGTTCCTCATGATGATGATACTGACGGCTTCCAGTTCCACTACTGGCGTATCCCGGTGCCGGAACTTTGGAGAGACCTTCTTGAGAAGATCAAGGCGGCAGGGTAAGAGCGTACTGGACTGACACACCCAACCCACACTAACAATTGGCGACAGCTTCAATGCCTTCTCCATCTACAACCACTGGGGCTACCATAACCCGTCCCCTGGGGTCTTGGACTTCGAGACCGGCGCCCACAACTTCACATCCATCATGACCGTCGCTAAGGAGGTCGGCATCTACCTGATTATTCGCCCTGGCCCCTACGTCAACGCCGAGACCAACGCCGGAGGATTCCCTCTCTGGGCCACAACCGGCGAGTACGGTTCTCTGAGAAACGACGACTCGAGGTACACCGAGGCATGGACTCCTTTCTGGGCCGAGATCTCCAAGATCATCAAGCCGCACTTGATCACCAATGGCGGAAATGTCATCATGTTCCAAATTGAGAACGAGCTCAATGGACAGTGGAAGGATATCCCCAACCGCGTCCTCAACCCGCCCATTGCGAACTACATGCAGCTACTCCAAGATAGCGCACGGGAAAACGGCATCGATGTGCCTTTGTCGCACAATGCTCCCAACATGCGAGGATACTCTTGGTCCAAGGACTTCTCCAACGCGACTGGAAATGTCGACGTTGTGGGCGTGGACAGCTATCCGTCTTGCTGGAGCTGCAACTTGAGCGAGTGCACCGGTACAAATGGACAGTACATCCCGTACTTGACCCAGAACTACTACGACTACTTCACGGTTCAGTCCCCGTCCCAGCCAAACTTCTTGCCAGAGTTCCAGGGAGGCTCTTACAACCCATGGGGTGGACCGGAGGGCGGCTGCCCAGGCGACATCGGTGTTGACTTTGCCAATATCTTCTACCGCGATCTCATCTACCAGAGAGTCACTGCAATCTCCCTGTACATGATGTTCGGCGGTACCAACTGGGGTTGGCTTGCTTGTCCTGTCGTCGGTAGGCACACTCTGCTTCCCAGCTGTTATTGATTGACTGACACACTGCCAGCCTCCAGCTACGATTACTCCTCCCCGGTATCCGAGAACAGAATTATCGGAAGCAAGTTCTACGAAACCAAGCTTTTGACCCTTTTCACGAGAGCGGCGAAGGACCTGACAAAGACGGAGAGAGTCGGAAATAGCACATCATACTCGAGTAACGCAGCCATCACCGTCGCCGAGCTGCGAAACGTAGACAATGACGCCGCCTTCTACGTCGCGCGCCACGCATATTCCCCTTCCAACACCAATGAGGCATTCAAACTCTCGGTCAACACGTCAGAGGGTGCCCTCACTATTCCTCAACACGGAAACTCCATCGCAATCAACGGACATTCGGCCAAGGTCATTGTCACCGATTTTACCTTTGGCGAGAAGAAGCTGCTTTACTCCACTGCCGAGGTTCTCAGCTACATCATCGTCGACGGCAAGGAGGTCATTGCTCTTTGGCTTCCAGAGGGTGAGGCCGGCGAGTTCGTGGTCAGCGGTACCACTTCTGCTGAGCTTGTTGGAGATGGAAACGTCGGCGATTTCCAGACCTTCGCAGGAGAGAGCAACGTCACCGTTGCATACACCCAGAAGAAGGGTATCACCATCGTCGATCTTGGAGATGGCTCGCGTGCTGTTTTGCTGGACCGCACTACAGCTTACCTTTTCTGGGTCCCGACTCTCGACAATGACGTCTTGGCCCCTGCCAACAAGACCGTCTTTGTTCAAGGACCTTATCTTGTTCGTTCGGCTTCCTTCAACGAGACGGGTCGCAGCTTGGCTCTTTATGGAGACGCTGACAAGGAGACCACTGTCACTGTTTTTGCTTCTGAGTCCATCTGCGGTATTACTTGGAACGGCAAGAAGCTCGAGATTGCTTCGAGGGAGGGCAATGTCTTCACCGCGAAGATCGAGGGCCCTGCCGAATTCAGTCTTCCAGCTCTTGGACCGTGGAAGGTCCACGATAGCTTGCCTGAGATCGCTACTGACTATACGCCCACTTCTGACTCGTGGGTTGGTACGTAATACCTTACTTCTGATCACTCTTCCAAGTGCTGATACGTTACAGTTGCCGATAAGACCAACACTTCCAATACGGTCAAGCCTGCCTCGAACAACCCCGTGCTCTACGTCGACGAGTATGAAATTCACGTCGGAAACCACATCTACCGCGCTACCTTCCCAACCAGCGAAAACCCTCCTACCGGCGTGTTCCTGAACCTCACCGGAGGACTCGCCTTCGGCTACTCCGTCTGGCTGAACTCGGAGTACATCGGCTCCTACCTGGGTCTTTCCTACCTCGGTGCTGATGCCAGCGAGTTCTCTTTTGAGAACGCCACTTTGGCAAAGGAGGGCGACAACATTCTCGTCGTCGTTATGGACAACTCCGGTCACGACCTTCGCGAGGCTGCCCTTGCCCCCCGTGGTATCACCAACGCAACTCTCCTCGGCCCCGACGCCTCTACGTACAAGTTTTCCGAATGGAAGATTGCTGGAACAGCAGGCCGCAACGACCTCATCGATACTGTCCGTGGCCCGATCAACGAGGGTGGTCTCTACGCCGAGCGCATTGGTGCAGCCCTTCCCGGCTTCCCCGACGAGGACTGGGAAACCCTCAGCTCTTCCAACGAGACACTCTCCGTGCCCGATGCCGGTATCAAGATCTTCCGAACCGTCGTTCCCCTGGACGTTCCTGTCGGCCTTGACGTTTCCATCTCCTTCCGCCTTACCGCTTCGTCTAATGATACATTTGCGCCGACACAAGAGGGATACAGCAACCAGCTCCGTGCGCTGCTGTTCGTCAATGGCTACCAGTACGGCCGGTTCAACCCGTACATCGGCAACCAGATTCACTACCCTGTGCCGACCGGCATCCTCAACTACAACGGCGACAACACCATCGCAGTCACTATCTGGAGTCAGTCGTCTCAGGGCGCCGAGTTGAAGATTGAATGGCAGGCGGATTACGTGCACACTTCAAGCTTCGATATGAGCTTCGATAGCGAGGCGCTGCGGCCTGGCTGGGATGAGAGCCGTCTCCAGTATGCTTAGGGACGCCTGGAGGTGCAAGATTCACGAGTGTGAAAATTTTTCGGCTTTGCGTATGTAGAAATAATCAAATTGGATGAAAAGTCGCAGTTCCCCACGTGGGTGTATCGTCGGGGCCGTCAAGGTGAATGTCTAAAAAGTGGGAGTTCAAATTTTGCTTGTTTTCGCATCTGAGATCACCACAATTCCTTTTTTTTTTGCCCCGACGTTCGTACAACGGTTGGGATCAATATTCAAGCATTTCGTCATCAAATGACCTATATCTTCCCGATTTGATGGCTCACTGCCTCGGCGTCAGTCGTCAACATGGCTTCCGAAATGCTGGCCACGACGGAACCCAAGTTCGAGCACTTCAACAGACTTCCAGCCGAGCTGCGCCAGATGATCTGGCTCTACGCCCTCGATGAGGCAGGTAATATGGTAACATGCCTTCCTGCCGCCGACCCCAACCTATACCAGCGCAAGAATCCCGCCGCATCAGCAGTCAACCGCGAGAGCAGAGCAGCCTTCCTCCGAGTGTACGAGCCCATTCACGATACTTCCAACTTGGTTCCCGAGCACGCTCCCGCCTGCGCCTATCTGAACCCACGCATCGACAGCCTCTTGCTTGGCGACTACGGTGTCCCAGGTTTAACAGGTTACGCGCCGGTGTGCCCTCCGAGACTGAGCGAGCCGCACGCCAAGATGATACGCGAGGTCCGTCTACAGCAGCGCGATCTGAAAGTGTTCTCAATCAACAGGGGCGTCGGGGCCTGGACGCAAATAGCTTGCACACTGCACACAGGGCCCGCGGGTCTGGTTCACGAATGCCATCTTCGTGTTGCGGATCTGATTTACCCGAACCTGGACACCATCTGGATCACGAGCAGCTACAGCCGCATCTTCTTTCCTCAGAATTACCCTGGCTGGAACCGAGGGCTGACGTTTCGGTACTGCGTACGCTCTGGCGAAGTCTACGTGCAGCGGATCAGGCAGGAGGACTACGAAGAGGGCCTGCGCGTCTACAGAACACCACAAGATCCTGCGCTTTTGTCAGTTGTCCGCGTCGACATCGTTCGAGACGGAGGCTTCGGTGGAGGTGGCGAGGGATGGCATCGGATTAATGTGATTGGGCGCTATCACGACTTGAACGCGGTTTGGGAGTTCATTGTTCATTACATCGATTGTCGACTAAGTCACCTGGCGTGATCATATGAAAGCAGTTGAGCAGCCCTCGACGGTTACCGACGCTTCACAAACTTAGCCGCCGGTTGCAACATCACTTGTCGGTCCTCGCCTGGTCAAAAGGGCAACGTCCATTGCCTTCGAGGTGGATACCAAGCAGGGAAAACATTCAGATAGCACTTAGTGTATTGAGCTACCAAATCATAGGCCTCCTGTGGGCGTCGGAAGAATCATCCTGTACCGTTCCTTCCAATCTCGAGTGTACCAAATCCGCCTGTCCAATCGCCTCCCAAGACAAAACCCTGCCTTCCCAAGATGTACATCATGTGTGCGAGCAAGAGTGTGCCGAGCAAGTCTGTAGAATTTGTTAGAATGTTTCATCAGTGTGCTGTTGCCCTGGGTAGCATACCTTTAAGAAGACTAGATCTAGTTGCGGACGAGACGCTTCAGAAGGTACTCCGCAGAGAATGTCCAGACGAACTGAACCGGCTCGGAGGCCTTGTCGAAGGCGGCAGCATGAGTGTCGCCGTTGTTGATTGTCTGCCACTCAGTGGTGTCGTGGACGAGATCGGGCTTGCGGTCGAAGAGGACCTCGACCTTGAAGACATCATCGCCGGACAGGTGACGTTGAGTTCGCTCATCGATGATGGCATCCTCAGGGATGGTGCCCTGGGAGACGAGAACGGTGTTGGTCTCGACGTGGTAGATGAACTTGAAGTCGGTGTAGCCGTTAAGCTCCTCGACGATGGAGGGAGCGACACTCTCACTGGTGATGGTGACGCGCTCGAGGTTCTTGTAGATGAGGCGGGTCACGTCGATCTCGACGGCGGGCATGGTAGGGTCGAACTCGAAAGAGGTGTAGCCAACCACGGGGGGGACATCGAAGTAATGAAGCCAGACGCGCTTGAGGCCGGTGATGAGAGAGTGCGACTTGGGCGGCTCGATCAGGTTCCACTCGCCGGAGACGGTCTCATATCCAAGATAGAGGACGTCTAGGTGAGGGTTGATGTAAACCCAGTCGGGCTCCTCTTCAGACCCGATCAGTACGAAGGGAAAGATGGAGTCGTAAAGCCGAAAGGCATGGATGCTGAAGACCCGACGGCTCTCCTTGCAAATGCGGGTGAGGATGCTCTGCTTACGAGGGGCATTGAGGTCGCGGCGAGGCGCGACACCGACAAGACGACCGATATTCGCCTCGTTAAAGATTTGGCGGCGAATCGACTCGGGAAGGGCGTCGAAGAGGAAGACGCGGTGGCCAACGTTGTTCGCCGCCATGTTGTGTGAGGTTGTTGGTGGTGATGTAGAAGAGGAGAGGAAATGTGAAAGTTGGGGGGTATGGGGGAAAGTAGGAAGAGAACAACTTTCTGCTCCTCCCATCCCCAGGTTTTATTCTGTGTCTGTCCTGCTGAGTCGTCGAGGGTTGTCTGTCCGAAAGGGTCTGCTTGCTCTCGTGCTGCTATGGTTGCTATGGTTGCTGATGTGGATGTGCTCTTCAAGGCAGGAGGCGTGGGTTTCTGTCGATATCACCATCAATACCAGGGGCTCTCGCTGTTTTGGTTCTTCAGCATGAAGTCTCTGCACATGAAATGTTTTGACCAAACATCAAGTGCACCTTCACCGACAGGACACTACTTGGAAAATTACGCTTGGGTTCTTGAGTATCTCAAAGGCATCACCAGAAAGGGGAAACTTGGAGCATCAGAGCAATTTTCAAAAGATGATTGAAAAACCTTGCGTATAAGACGATAGGTGATAGGTTCCCGATCAATCTAATAAAGAATGTCTGTCACTGGAGGAGAAAGAGAATTGAGAGAGCAAGGAAAGTAAATAATAAAGGGGTAAATGCTGTAAGGCTTTAACCTCTGCGGCAAAGATTGCTCTTTCTCTTTCAGACTCACAATCATCTCAAAGAAGGGTGAAGAAGCAGGTGGCGATCTGTGAAGTTTGAGGGCTTTCGGCTCCGTGCTGGCTGTGAAGCCGGAGGGGAGCTCCGGTGCACTCCGGAGGAACACGGCCCCACTCCGGAGGCACCTGCCCAGCAGGGAAGGAGACACTCCGGAGCAGTGCTGCAGTCAGCCAAGGTAAGGTACCTAAGGTACCTACCTACCTACCCAAGGCAAGCACCGGGCTACTTCCTTCCTTCTTCCCTAGCAGCAAAAACAAACAAAGCCAGCCTGGCCAGATCAGATCTTTGACGTCAACCTCAAAAACCATTCGTCTTCCCCTGCTTGACTCGGGCCATTGCTGCCACCCGAATCCGGTACGATGCTGACCTCTCCGAGAAACATCGCCGGCTTCAAGACATATCTAAATCCACTGCCCCGGCCTCAGCTCCGTCTCTAGGTCCATTTCGGTGGCCGCGGTCGCCGTTAAGAGTATAGCGATCATGTTGTCACGATTCTCCACCAGCTGGACGAAACAGGCAGGGTTTCGGCGAGTTCGTCTTGTGGAGGAATGGGACGCCAACATCGCAAAACATGCATGCTCAACATGGTGCAGAGATGCGAAATCGATTTGGTCTCATGGCCAGCTCCAAGTGCTCAGCAATCTTCCTCGATAAAAACGGCCCCTTCCTGAGATATCTCTGAGCTGCTGAATGCCCCGGTTGGAAGTTGAACTTCTAGGAAGGCTTCGTCGCCCTGACCGTGCCAGAAAAGGCAGCGAGAGTGCGAAACCGTTTTGTCCACCCACATCACGCTCGGATTCAAGGTAACCCAGCCAGATGAACGCATCAAGCAGCCCGCGGGAACCGACTTATGGGGATAAATGCGTCGATTCCAACGTGAAAACAAGCGATCAATGGGGTTGCTGTCAGCAAACTACATAAGAGCGGTCTTAGGTCCGCTAAAGCCGCTGGCGTGGACCTTCAGCGGCCCAGTGCGTCCACTGGATCGTCGCAGCACACTTACAGCTCGAGATTTAGACATGGAGGAATATAAACCAGAGACCTTCCTTATGATGGCGCATTCCATCAAGACATCATCGTCTCATGCGCCATTTTCAGTTCGACCAGAAGCTACGAGCAGAAAACTGACATCATGGTTAACGTCGCGATCGCAGGCGGTACCGGCGCCGTGGGCAAGACCCTCATCGAGGTGATGGCTTCGCAGACGAAACATCAAGCCGTCATCCTCACCCGCAAGGTATTGACTACCGCACGAAGTTTGCCAAAGTTGTCTCGATACTGATTGCACGTCATCAGGCGCCCAGCCCGGAGGAAGAGGCTCTCGCGCCGACTTACCAGGTCGACTACTCCAATGTCGACTCTCTCAAGGCCTTCCTCGAAGAACACAACATCCACACCGTCATCAGCGCCTTTGGCATCAACGCCACCTCGCTCGCGACATCCCAACTCAACCTCATCAAAGCCGCCGACGAGTCCTCGGTCACGAAGCGCTTCATCCCCAGCTCCTTCGCCATGCGCTACCCCGAAGAGTAGGCCCAACCTCATCGTCCTAGTTTCTGAATACCTCAGCTGACCAACGCCCTGACAACAGCGGCGTCAAGATCCTCCCTCCCCTCGAACACTACTTCACCTCCCTCACCGCGCTGTCCTCGACATCCCTCGAGTGGGCCGTCGTCCTCAACGGCACGTTCCTCGAATACTTCGCCCCGGCCGCCCTCAAATCCCACCACCCGCACAGCGTCATCGTCCTCGACATGCACCACAACGCGGCCGCGATCCCGGGCGACGGCAACACCCCCGTGACCTTCACCTACACATTCGACGTGGCGCGCTTCGTCGTCGCGGCGCTGGACCTCGAGCGCTGGCCGGCGGACCACGAGCTGCGCATCGTCGGCGACGAGCTCACCTTCAACGACTTTGTCAAGATAGCCGAGGAGGTCAAGGGCGTCAAGTTCGACGTCGTGTATGATGATGTGGAGAAGGTAAGGGCGTCGCAGATCTCGGAGCTGCCCGGGCACAAGGCCTCGTACGACAAGTTCCCCAAGGAGCAGCTGCAGTGGTTCCTCGCTATTTTCGAGCTGTGGATGGCGACCGGGCTGGGCAAGGTTGAGAGGGAGGGCAGTCTGAATGAGATGTTCCCCGAGATCAAGCCGCTGACGGCGCGGGAGATGCTGGAGAAGTACTGGAAGCCATGAGAGTGCTTGTTAAATAGAGGATGAGAAGATATCTGCGAAGACGGTTCCGGCCAATGGTGCCGTAAGTGACCACTGTCTCCGGCGGGGGGCTGTTTAGGGGCAAATAACAGCGGGCTGCTGCACTGAACCACTGTCTATGCCTAACCTAATGACGCTGGAACGGACCAGATGGCCATCCTGGAACACCCCGACAAGATCCATGCCCGTATTCTTCAAGAGTTAAAAGCCGAATCCTCCAAATGCTTTACTGACGCTGTTCACAGCCACGCATAGAAGTACGCCAAAAAGGCAAAAGGAAATGCCGACCTACCCAGGGATCGAACCTAGAATCTTCAGAGTATGACTAGAAAGCCGAAATCTGACGCGATGCCATTTCGCCAGCAGGCCATGCTGGATTGATGACTAACGGACAGACAAATGCAACTTAAGTAGGGAAGAGGGGTGCGGGCTAGACCGTTGAGGCGATTGATCGTCCCACTCACGATGTGGGGACGGGAGGCTCGTCTGCCTGCGTGATGTGGATGTTAGTGGCCATGTTTTTGTGTCCAACCCAGGAAATGCGGTTCCGCTTATTGAAGAATGCTTCAAGAATCAAGCTGACTACAGAAATGATACATTCGGAGTACTGGGTATCAAAAACGCATCACGATGCTTCCTCTTTAGGGGGCTCTGCGTTGGAGTCCTCGGTCGTCTCTTCACCCTTCGCACCCTCCTTGGCCGCCTCAGGGTCCCACACCGCTTCAATGATGCTCATCCTACATCCCTTGGGCCGCAAAATCTTAGTCAGGACGAATCGCTCGTCGGCCGCCTTAAAGAGAGCCCGGTACTCGTCCTCATTACGCTCCTGCGCGTTCAGCACAGCCAGCATGACCATGTCCATTCCACGCATAATCCTTTCATCCCATGGGTTCTCTTCTCCAGGTTGGCGTAGGCACTGATCCTTGATTACAACCTTCGCGCCGGGCTTCAACGCAGGAACCAGATTCTTGAGGATAGAAACAGCGTAAGGCGTGGAGTAGTTGTGCATGATCCATCGGAAAAAGAAAACTGTTGAAGGAGTAAAGTCAGTCGCTTTCTGTGAACCAATATCAGACACTAGAGGACTCACTATCGGCATCCTTCACAGTTTGTTCTTTGAAGAAGTCGTGTGCCATGAACTCGATGCGTTCGGCGATCTGGGTGTCGTCCGAAACCGGCTTCGGGGCTGAGTCAATCGTTTTCTGAAGATCCTGTACGACGAACTTCATATTCTTCCACTTCTTCGCCAAGTCGACGCAAACGAAGCCCTGGCTGCCGCCGATATCCACCAGCGTTCCGCCTCTAGCATTAATGTCGCTAAAGTCGTATGAATCAACGAGGTGCTTGACTTCATAGCCCTCGCCGCCTGTGAGACTGACCATGGCGCCGCCGAAACGCTTAGCTCGAGCCGGATCCTTGCCAAAGGTGACGAACATCGGCTCCTTGTCCACGGTATCAAATGCGAAGTTGAAGCCAGTCCGTGTGAGTGAAGTGGCCTCTGGATAGGCTTTGAGGGCTTGGAGAACATGAGCAGAGGCGGGGAAGTTGTCTTCAAGGTTGTAGCCAACCCAGTCCTGGAGCGACTGGTCCTCTGCCAATAGGCGGGACGCTGCAGTATGAGCGATCACGCCCGGCGAAGGCTCGCGGAAAATTCGGTTTGTCATAGCATGGCGAAGTACACGCGCGAGGTTGACAGCGTCGAGAGTGGTCTTGGTCTGCAATTCCACCAACGTGATAGTGCCGTCGATTGGCACGAGTTTCGCTTTGCAATGTTAGTGTTAAGACGCACGAAGATGAGCAGCTTGTTGCTTACCGAGACAAAAGTGGTTGACCAATTGAAGGCTCAAGCTGTCTTGCCACTGTCGAATAGTTAGCTTGGAAATTCAACAGTAGCAGACCGCAACGTACGCTCCAAGCCTTCCACCTGACGTCTTCTCGGGGTCCATGAACCAAAGCCTCCAGCTCTCTAGTCGCAAACATGATCTCCATCCGGCTCTTCTGAATGTCCTCGGGAAGCTTGGGAAAGTCAAGGGGTCCCTCGGGGTCCAGACTCGGCAACGGCATGCCATTTTCCTTCATGTACTTTTCCAGCTTTCCGGTTTCCGCCGCGATCTTCGTAGCAAGCTCTGTCAGTCTTGACGACGAACTTGCAGGCTCGTTTGCCGCCGAGACTTCCGCCTTGGTAACCTCATCTTTAAGAGTACCGTTTGACCGAGAAGAAAAGGGTGACAAGGACAGGCGGTTCTGCTTCTTGCCTTCGGCCTCTCCGGTGTTTGATGACGGACTGGTGTTGAGCCACGAGCCGAGCTTGAATTTTGTCATTTTACAGGTGGGTTTTGTAGCAAGATTTACTTCACCCGGTCTATTACGATTAAGAGTTCCTTTTTCATGTCAGCACATCCTCACTTCAGTTAACGAGCAACGCAAGAGATTTCCAGTCCTCCTTCACTAGTATCCCAGCACCACTGGCTGTAGACACAGCCATGCTTGGCTGTCTGAGCTTCACAGCTTTGCAGACTGCCCATAGCCTAGCTGCATGGTGGGAACACCAGAAGTCTCTGAGAAGCCAATTTCAACTCTGATAGATTGCTTCCCCTGCTCTATTATCTGCCGGAGATGAATGACGTGCGAGTTCCACTGACCGTCAAGTTTGAAGGACGTCAAAACCAACGCTACGCCTATCAGTGCTGTGATGGCAGGCTCGAATTAAAATCAACGCTCGATGCTTTGGACGGTAGTGATGCCGCTCGGGCCGTTGTAACACGAAAAAACCCGAGGCCTCGGACTTGGGCTTGATTGACGTAGGTTTCGGGGTATGTGTCACAGAGAGATCAGACACGGCGGCTCTGCGACACAGGACGGCAACCAGGAGATTCGGTCGAGCTTTTTTCTTCGGGGGGAGGAAAGCTCGCGCCATCAGGACCCAGGCGTCTGGGAAGGTGTCTGTTTTTAAGGATGGGCCCAGATGTCAACAACGGCCCCTCCTGTGCTCCTGGGTGACGGGTCCTGGATGTGGGCGGGACAGGACCAGACCGGGATGGGTGCTGAATCGTTGCGACGATATCAACTAGCGCGGCCCATGCTTCTGCGGTCCGACGCCATTGTTGTTTTGTTCATGGGCCGTTTCCTTGTTCCCCGTCTCTTTTGTAGCTAGTGGGCTTCCACCCGCTCTTTGGAGTCCAGCGCCGCCCGGAGGCGACGGACGATCGCGGAGGTCATGGACCTGGCTGGAAGGTGTTCCTGAGACGATGGCCACGGGAGCATGGTTCCATACGACGGTGCAATGGACTAGCAGCTCTTGGGACGGCGAGAAGAGGGGAGGCCGAAGGATGGCAACTTGACAGGCGGTAGTCGATTGTGGCGTGGTATTCGTCCATCCCACTAGTGTAATCGACTTCCTGGCACCCTTGAAGGCCTGGATGGGAACATACTGCATAGTACCACCAATGGAGGTAATTAGTAAACCATCCGAACGGGAGAAACGGCTGGGCGACGTTGATAGCAGCGGCGGTGAGAAGTCTATCTCCATCGTTCAGGGACTGTCGCGGACTGTAACGGCGGTAGACAGAGGGCGGGGGGTGAAGACAGGAAAGACAGAAAAGACAGCACCAGGACAGGTTCCACTGGGACGGGTCGGCAAGCATGCGTCTGCGGGCACTGGGAACACAACAGCTCCCCTCCCCTCCCCCGCCGGCATTTGGGCGAAGAATGGACTTGGAAGAGCACTTCTGGCCAATCATGCCCTGTACTGCAGCACCTACCTTACCTACCATGTTCCATTGTTTCAGCGAGCCAGGGCACCGGTCGCTGTCGTCCCCACTCTGCGGGCGGGCACCTCAGTGGAGGGTGTTCCGCCATTCTGGAACTGGAAACAGCGTCCACGTCTTTGGCACGCGATGCCACCCACCCACCACTACTACGCAGTACACCACCTCCTCCTTCCGAGTCCTCACAGGCTTCAAACTTGGGCCCAATCCATCCAATCTGCAACTCCCCTCAACACCACCCATCGACTTCTCCTCACCCGATCCCACGACGATGCAGCACCCCCTCTGCAGCAACGACTATTTGGCAAGACCATCATACTTCTTCCGGATACGCTTGCAGAATGCTGCACCTAAGAACCTTAGAGCCCCTCCCAATCGCCACCGGTTTGCCAAGGACCTTGAAGTTGGACCGTCTCCAAAACCACACCACACCACACCACACCACCACCACCACGCAACCAGCGACGCCAAACCCGTACGTCCGTATCCGCGGAGAAGAAACACAGTCGGACCTGCATCCAACCTGCTTGCGGTCTCCTCGCTACTTTGTTAGCATCCGCTTTGCTCAAGATCACGACACATCATGCAATTACGACTGGGCAAAAAATAATTGTCTGCGTTAACCGCATCGACTATCCTACACATCCACAAACTCCACCGGCTTCTGCCCATAGACCACCTTGAGCGGCATATACATCAGCACAGAATTGTCATAATACGCCTTCCTGACGTTGACGAGGAAAAGCTCCGTTTGCTCCGCCGACCAATGTAAGCCCCGCGTGAAAGGCCCCAACGCGATGGCCTGGAGTCCATCCAGGAGGATCGTCCGCCAGTACATCCCCACGGTCTTGAGCACCCTGTTACGCGGCCATGTTCCTATGGGAACGTGGAAAACTCTCTCCGTCACATTGCAGAATCCTGCTTCGCGCATCATGTTCGCCAGCCGGTCCCCCGCCGCCAACTCCAAGTCGACTCCGAGCTTCACCAGCCCTTCACCCACGAGACCCCAATACTCAGCAACGGGGTGCGTTGCCGATAGTGAATTGTTGGCCGAGGCCGGGAAATGGTGCATTTCCTGCAACTCCATCCAGCCTCCAGGCTTAAGGTGTCTGAGTCCTTGTTAGCAGTGGCATGGATGCTGGGCGTGACCTGTCACTCACTCGAGGGATCTCTGGAGGAGCGTCTCCCAGTCCTTGATGGCCACAACGGTGTGCCGCGAGTGAATGTAATCAAAGTGGTTTGCATTATACAGCCACGCACTTTCGACATCGTCAACCTCGAACTTGACGTTTGGTGGCACCCAGTCTGGCTGAATAGGGCTGAGATCCACACCGAGAACCTGGGCACTTGGATATTGGTCGCCCACTTCTCTGTCATTAGCAGATTCGATTCGCACGGCTGCCTTCACTTACTCTCAATAGCCCAGGCGCCTGTGCCGGTTCCGAGATCCAGTATGTTCTGAGGGAAACGCCCGATCGGTGCAAAGTTGAGCTTCTGGCTACAAAGAAGCTTAACCATGGCATGTTTCATGTCCTCGCGCTCCTGCTCGACCTCATCGTTCGGGAAGTTGTACCGCCCTTCTCGGAAACGATGGTATCGCCGCCCGTTCTCGTACATGAAGTCTCTCACCGACGACGTAATTGATGTGCTGACATTCGACTCTGTGTCTGTGTCATAACCAGCATCAGATGAGTCTCTCGCGTCGAAAAGATTTAGCTCGTTCCTGTCAACCGCAATGAAGCCCTCGGCTTGCGTTGTGGCCTCTGACGACTCTTGTGCTTGCTGCTCAGCAGACATGTCGGGCAGAATGCGGACTCCATTGGGATGCGTCAAATGAGGCTCGAACGCCGCAGAACGGTTGCCACGGGGCGATAGCGAGTTGCGTTGAGAGTAGTCGTCGGTGTATTCAATGCCGGAGGTCCCGTTTCCATCGCGGTTTGCCGTGCCGGTCCCTGTCATGAGCGCTTCGATGGGCTCATCGGGTGACCAGTAAGGGTCTCGCGACTCTGTTGATGACCCGACCGCATCGACGACAGGGTCGAAGAAGGCGCGCGTCGAGGGCTCAACCGCAGCGGTTCCCGACATGATGTGGTCTTCTCCGGCGTTCTGGACGTTGACATTCTCATCCCAGGGCTTGAGACCTTGTCCGAAAGCCGCACCATGTGTCGTCGAGTTTACATCTCGGCGAGGGATGGAATGGTTGACCAGATTTCTGGGTGGTGGGTGCCACCCTCGCCCGCTCGCGGTCAATGTCTCAGACACCAGATCAGTAATATCAGTCGCGTATCCCGCCTCGTGCCTGGGGCTGTCCAACCTGTCACTCCTACTGGATGACATGGGCATGTCACTCTCGGCGGCGGCGTCCATTGCCTGTCGTGCAGCGTGGGCGTCAAATAATCATCGCCAGGCAGCAATACTAATAATTGCTTTTTCTGATGCGTTGGCTTCGCAGAGCTGGCTGGTGGTGGTCGAGGGTGCTGAAAGATGCAATCACATGCTAACCCAGCCAATGACAAGGTAATTGGCGTTCCTTTAAACGACGGATGGACCCTTTATGACGAACGACCTCTGTTGCATGGCCTCAGCTGTGGCAGTAGTCCCATCCATGCTATGTATGCCATGCCATGCCATGCGTGCCACACCACAACCGGCCAGGGGAATCCGCGGCCGTGCTCAAGCGGGCGGAAAGGCCTCCGCATTTAGCTCACGCTTGGTCAACCAGCAGGCAGCAGAAAGTGGCACGATGTTCAAGTCAGCACCAGCACGAAAGCTTGCATTGCATTGCTATCCGCAGTACCGATGAGGGTAGCAGAGAGCTGACATGGATGCTCACATCTGAGCGCAAATAAGCTCAATCTTGTCGCCAAGGCGGGAGGATCGGGGTGATCCCCCCAAAGGCGCTAACCCGTCTCACATCCCCGGTGCGCCGTCAGTGCAGGCTCCTGTTCATGTTACGAGGGGCTGGAACATCCCCTTTGATCCGAGCTGCATCGGAAGATATTCGCGACTGAATCAAACGTCCTCTGCACGCTGATATCTTCATGTCAGTCTTTCTTCTCAGCCCCATGGCGATATTCTACGATATTCCACAGGCTCTGAATCAGTACCACAGCTAAGATCCTTCGCCCAGGGGCCCGTGACTGCGCCGCGTCATCGGTGATATCTCTTTTCTCGGGCGGGATGTAGTTGCTTGGGTGCTTGTCGGTAGGATTGGGCGGTTCTATATCGCCTCGCCATCCGTACTTGGGCCTACCGTACGGCTCAGAGGGCTTCTTGTGAGGGAAAAGCACCAGCCCTTGTCCTTGGGGTAGAGAAGTTGGGTGGTTGCGGAGTCTGCACTGGACATGGTGGCTCAAGAATGTTGGCGATCAGCGTGGGTTGTGTGTAGTTGGAGTCGGGCTCGGAAAAGCCACAGGTAGAGGTGATAACAGAACTGAGATAGTGCAAGTAGAAACCCATGAATGAGGTGAAGGCAGGAAGAGTGACGTGGAGATGGGAGACAGTCTGATCTGTTCCAATGCTAAGAGATTCCGAAAAGGTCTTCCAACACAGGTTTCGTGTGGCCATTAATTTAAATGGGTTCTTTTTGCAAACTTGCATGTCAGTACTGATCAAAGGGCTAGCAGGATTGTGTGGTGCATCAAGGTTGTCGCGTAAATACGTTGAATGTTCTCTACTTGGTTCATAACTTCGAAATATACTATCGCATCCCCTTATTAAGAAGAATGCTGAGCTATGCCAAGCTCCTCCACTGTCCTCCTCCAAAACACATGTCCTGTACTTTTGCTTAGTCTATACGGGGAGGTAATGCACAGCCGCGCCATCAGGGCAGCTCCAACACGCAGGCTCATCCATGACATTGTCCTTGTACGCCCGGCCAGCGACCGCCGAATCGCCGATGGCGTCCCAGACGGCCAAGCTGTAGATACCGCACCAACCGGATCCCGGGACCCACGTCCAGCTCTTGCAAGCTGCTCCGAGGCTCAGGCAATACGCGGCACAGTCGGTCTGGGCGTATAGATAGCTACCCTGCACCCCGCCGGCCGGTTGCTGGAAGCCCTTCACGTTGCAATTTGCCGTGGCAGGCGGCGACGCAGCTCGGGAACACACCGCGGCCGCGGAGGCGGACGTGCTCGAGGATGCCGCGCTTTGCGACTTTGAGCTGGCGGGCGTCGTGGAGGATGGCGATGCGGTGGCTTGCGGGTAGCCGACGAAGAGCGGAAGCGAGGATGAAGAAGAGCTCGACGAAGAAAACGAGGACGAAGATGAAGACAAGACGTTTGCTGGAACGATGTTGGCGCAGTTGTGGCAGAGCATACTCATCCATACGACCGGCCTGTAGTCCACAGAAGGCGACAGGGACTTGAGCAGCGTCATGACGGGGAGGTTGTAGAAGTTGCAGTTCCAGGAGACGGTGCTGGTGCGGTCGAGGGCGTATCCCTGGCAGCCGGAGATTCCATCGCAGATGACTGCGCAGCGCTGATACGACGGGTCGAAGTTGTAGTCGCCCAAGACGTTGGGGGCGATGCCCGTTGCGACGGCAATGAGACCCTGCGTCGCTGTCGGATAGCCGGACTGGATGCAGCCGTTGGTGTACCATTGAGCCCCGGTCGGTTGACCGCAAGACGTGGTCGACGCCGGCGCGGAGAATGTTGTCACTGTGTCTGCTAGAGCTAAGGTGGTGGCGAGGGCGGTGACTGTTCCAGATGGTCCTGAAGTTGTAGAGGAAGTCGAAGAAGAACTGCTGCTGAAGGGCGTGCTCGTAGCAGATGAGACGGTACTACTTCTGCTGGTGCTACTGCTGCTGCTAATTGCTAAGATACTCACGCTGCTGCTGATAGAGGACGCGATCGCCTGGTTGAGGGTGCAATTGTAACATTCCGTCACTCCCCATGCGAACTTGGCATACGCGGAGCCATACGAGGTGAGGCGGAAGTAGTTGCCAGGGAGGTTATAGTTGCTCGAGTTGACAAAGTTGTACATGTAGCACGACCACGGAGACAGATCGGTGGGCCAGTTTCCACGATCGATGGCCCAGGTGGTGCAGCCGTTCACACCGCGGCAAGCGCCGGCGCAGACCTCGAAAGGCTTGCTGAAGTCAAACACCCCCGATGGAGCCGGAGCAATGCCTGTCGCTACAGCCAGGAGACCGGACTGCGAAGTCGGGGTCGGCCAGCCGGAGAGGGCGCAAGGGGTCGCGCCGTCGTTGTTGCGCTGCGTTACGCAGGTGCCAGAGGTCCAGGCTGAGGCCGAGAAGACGTAGGCCTCGGAGGGCGGCCTTGTTGTTGCTGGCGCGGCTGTTGTGGGAGATGCAGTGCTCGACGTGGATGATGCAGCGTTTGCGTTGAAAGTTGACGAAGCGGCAGTAGATATCGAGGATGCCGCGCTACTGGTCGATGACCCAGCGCTGGTAGATGAAGTAGCCGCTGGGGCGATGGATGACGATGTTGACGGAGTAGGTGACGAGATCGCTGCAGCAGGAGTGCTGCAAGCGTAGCACTGCTTGTCCATCCAGACGATCCAGTAGTTGCCGTCGTTCTGGGGAGTCATCAGCCTCGCGCCGGCGGAGTAAAAGTAGCACGTCCAGTCAGAGTAGTCGGCCGGCCAGAATCCTCTATCAAGGGCCCAGCTGTAGCAGGTGGACATTGACGCACACATCTGCGCGCAAGCTTGGTAGGCGTACTCGAATAGGTTGCTGTTCTGAACTCGCGGAGCCGGAACACCTGTGGCGACGGCAACGAGTCCGGAGGTCTGGAGGACGCCGCCGGAGAGAGTACATCCGGCAGTGTACCAGTTGTCAGCCGTCGGTCGGGGGCAGTTGGTCTCCGTCACCGTGGTAGGAACGGCGAGAGTCGGGATCCATGAGAACAGGGTGATGGCGCCTGGCCGGACGGCCTTTGTGGAGCTAGGTGTGACTTGAGGCTGAGAGCTCGACGGAGGCGATGATGCTGCGGTTGGGACTGAGGTGCTGGTAGTCGAGCTAGGCGATGAAGTGGAAGATTGCCGTATCGTCGTTGAGCTTATCAAGGGCAGCGTGGACGTTGAAGCAGCCTTGCAATTGTAGCATCCCGCCGAGAAATACGCAACCGAACGATAGTTGTTGTCAAATGTTGTCCAATAGTCTCGCGCGTTACCGCCATAGATGTAACAAATCATTGATGTGCCTTGATCAAGAGCGTACGCTGTGCATCCAGGCACCTGTTTGCAAGCTTGGGCACACTGCTTGAACGGCCCCTCAGAGCTAACAAAGCCTGTGATGCCCGTCGCGACCGCAAGGAGACCAGATGTTGCTACAGGAGCACCGGACAGATAGCAGTCTGGCGGCGTTCCGAACGTGCAAGCAGCAGAATCGTAAGCCGGCGCAGAGAAGGTCAGAACACCGGGGATGACTGGAGCTTGTGTCACGGCGGGTACACTCGTAGAAGACGACGAGGTTGTGGACGTAGTTGCCGCCGCAGGCGCAGGAGCAAGGGCAGCCAGGTCTCGTTGCTGGCAGCTGTAGCAAGTCTTTGCAAAGTAGACGACGGCGGCGAACTGAGCGTTGTAAGCGTTGGGATGGTATTTTCCAACCTGGCCCGAGTAGAAGTTGCACCACCATGTGGAGGCTGTGGCATCGGGGTACACGCCGACGCCGCGATCCAGTGCCCAGGAGTTGCACGAGTCGAGGTTGGCGCAGATGCCGGCACACTGCTCGTACGCTTGCTGCATGTTGCCCGAGGCAGGCACAGGAGACGCAGTGGCTTTTCCGACGATGTCGATGGTCGCTACAGGCATCCCAGACATTGTGCAAGTCGACATGTACCCGGGGCTGCTGCATGTCCCAGCCTGATACACCCCCGCGAGGTACGTGGGTACGTTGGCGGCCACGTTCGTCGCAGCCGGAGCAGCAGTTGTCGATGGAGCGTTTGTTGTGGCAGGTGGGACATACGTTGCCCAACCAGCATTGCTTGTTGTGCTTGAGAGCCGAGAAGAGCTGGTGCTTGTTGTTGAAGGTGTTGCCTGGATGATCACCACGGTTGATGAGACGATGACGGTCGAGCTGCTGGAGGCAGAGCTCGATGACGGAGCTGGTGCAACAGCAACATCTCCAATGACGATGGGTACTGCAGTGGCAGGGCAGTACTGAACGATAATCAAGGTCGTGATACCGGCGCTAGTAGGCATGCTGGTCACCGTGGTGTAGCTTCCATCCGTTGTCCAGATCCTGCTCGAATAGATGACGGTGCTTCCAATCATCATTGTCAAGGTACACTCAGACAGGACAGCTCGCTTCGTCGCTCGCTTCTTCAAAGCCTCAGTCTTGTAAGTCAATTGTACCACTACGGAGTCTTCACTCTGCAGGTCAGGAGCAGACGCGGCGGCGACTGTGATAGAGGCCTGGCCATTGTCTGGTGGTGTAAGATCACTGCGGCCTCCATTAGAATTTCTTCAGCACATATCTCTGATGAAAACTTACACTACAGTCTTCCCATCAACGGTTTGAAGCTGAGAGTTGTCGCCAATGGTGGCTCCAGCTAGTGAGGCGCTGACAGCGTGGGGCAATGTAGCATCATTGGGAGCAGAGTTGGCTGAAGGCAAAGTCGACGAGGTGGAGGATCCGGAAGCAGTCGAGGATGTCGAGGATGCGCCGGCAGAAGAAGTCGATGACGGCGCTGGGCTATACTTGTACAAATCCAAACGGTTGGGACCTCCACAACTCTCAGTGGCGTCGCCCATGCACTTCATGTTGCAGGTCGAAGACCCTGCAGACGTAGCAAGCGGGTTCACGGAGTTGCCCGCCCAGCACTCACGCGAGTACTCGATTCCAAAGTTGAGGTATCCCTTTGATATAGCCCAGTCAGCGCACTTCTTGACGGTCATGTCGTCGGAAGCATAGAGGTCGCCAAACGTTCTGCCGTTGGCGGCATCGTCAGTCCAGCATCCGAGGTGGATGAAGTCGCCCACGCGATCGGCAGCCGTACTGACTGCGCTGGGGGCAACTGGAGGAGCTGAACTTGCGCTGGAGACTCCATTGGCGGTGTCCAATGTATACATGTTCAATCGAGCTGGGCCACCGCAGAGGCTGGTAGAGTCTCCTGCGCAAGCCATGTTGCAGTCTGTTTGCTGAGTAGCTGGCAGACTCAGCGAGCCAAGCACATTGCCACACCAACATTCCTTGCCTATGCAATATCAGATCAGTAGTTGAACTGAAGTTGTCCCCTATAACTGCTTACCGTATTCAACGCCCATCCACGCACTGCCGGCACAAAATGTGGCACACATATCAGGTGTCATGGCATCATCAGCACGCGTTCTGGATAAGGCACGTTGGCCCTGGACAAGATCACTGTAACATCCCGCAGAAACGTAGCTCCCTGCCTTGGCCTTTGCAGAAGGACCGGCAGGAGTCACAATGTTCTCGTTCTTGTAAACGCTTAGTCTGTTTCCAGCACCACATTTCTGAAAGCCGTTGCCAGGGCAGGCGAATGAGCACTCGGTGTCATCTGCGGCAAGAGTAGCAGCAGCAGACAGCTTGCTTCCACACCTGTGTTTTGTTAGTGTCGTAGGCAGAAGACCCTTCAGGGGCTCACTTGCCAGCACTCTCTTCCATACTCAGCACCAAAGTATGCCTTGCCAGCCGCAGCACAGATGTCGGCACATGCTCCCAGCGTCAAGCCGTCGCTACCAGTGACAGTCTCAAGAGCACGTCCATTCGAGGGTTCCATATAACTTCACAGAGTTAGGCATCTTCTTCCAGATAGTGAAGGGCTAAAGCTCACCATCCTTGGTACGTGTAGCCATGTTGTGCGGGCAGCGAGACGGCTCGTGGGCCATTGAATGGGACAGATATGACAGTCTGGGCTTGCAATGCTAGCAAGACCGCAGAGCCCAGACCAAAGAAATGAGTGGATTTGGCCATCTTTGACGATGAGCTCGGGGAAAGAGTGTAAATGCGGAAACCGCAGTATAGAGAACGAAAGATCGGATGGACAGCGGGATGGCAAGTATGTCCTACCATCCGGCATGGATTCCGGTTCCCTTAAGTAACGATTGCAATGTCCTCCACGACCTGTATTCTAGCTTCTCGACTTCTGAATCCAGCTTCCACCCTTTTCCGTATCCCACTTGAGACCGACGCCTCAAGACTACTTTTGACGCGGCCCATCCCACAGAGCTTAGGCGATCCGGGTTAGAATTCGTAGCCAGCTAGAGGGACCATCGCTATTCGGAAAGAGAAGTTACAGAGCGATGTCGATTCCGGAAACCTATCCGAGTCCAAAGTAGTAAAGTGCTCAAAGTAGATTTAGCCAGGGGTAAACCGCCATGTGGCTGGCCAACAGCTCTCCGGTGATGGCTCGGGTGGCATCCAATGACTGGCAAGATCGTGACAAGCTAACTTAGCCACCACTTAGCTTGCAAATAGCCTCAGAGAGTTTCCCGCAGCCATGGCGAGGTAGATGAAGAGAACATTGCCAAGAAAAGAAATAATGGCGCTGGGCACCGTCCCGCGTTGAGCGAGCTGCAGGGGCCGCCGCTTGGCGCCAGGAGACAATGAGAGCACATCGGATTGTTGTTCATAGAGACCGATACGGATGAGTCGGCATGGACGAGAAGATGGCTTGCCAAATTCCATACTGGCGGGATTGCCACGAGGGGTTCATGGGGATGCCCCTCCTTTGGACCCTGATCGTCGGGCAGGCCTGTGTGTTTTCAGGCTCTCGGCCTCAGCCCAGACCATCGATCACAGGTTTTATGCTTTGATTTAACCCGGAAGGCATCTCGACCCACATGCCATAAGTCAGAAAACGGCATGACAGCTTTGTCACTTTGTGGGACAGCTCCAGGTGGACTGCGGAGTCTGGCATGCCTGGCCCCGATCGAACTGCCGCGCATGTCAGACCTGACAGGAGGAGAGTCAGTCGCGGGTACTACCGGCGTGGGTTCCAGCCGGCTGGTTCACTTCGCTGCTTCACCCTGAGGCTAAAACAAGCCTTCATTGAAAATTCCAGACCGTCGTGCCCGTTCGCTGTCGCTTCTGGCTTTAGCGTCGCCTAGCGCTCAGCTGAGCTCCGAGTTGGCGGGAGTTTACCTCCAAGCGAGAAAACAACATCGAAATGCCGAATAAGCTTGCTTATCATGCTTGTTTTGGGTGCCAGAGCAATGCGAACTGCGCATTCGGCATGCGGTTGAAGCTGGTAAACTGAATTCAGGGACCACGATGGATACGCCAGAACGGAGGCTCCTGCTCAGGGGCAGCTCTTGCTTAGTCATGCGTTGTCGCACGGGCCACTGGAACTTCACCTTGTGACGTGCTCCCTGTCTAACTGACCTGAAACTAAATCTGTCGACGTTCCTGGTACCCCCGAAGACGAAGTCGCAAGCACCCCAAGACATGCAAAAGTTGTACACGGCAACCGTAGATCACACCACGTTTTCCTTGGGACTTCTTGTCAACATTTTCATCCATCGTCATTCGAGTTGACTTCTCCTTGTAGAATGCTGACAAAGCTCTAGCGTTGTGGCAATAGCAAAGGGTAGCCATCTTTCTCCGACTTGCCATCTTCATTTGGTATGATGCTGGGTACCGGGAGCCGTGTTTCTGGACAGACTCATAACTTGCACTGGAGAAGTCCCGAAAATGTCTGGCTGGCATCGAAACCACGGTCTATCATATCTTGTCTCCTCCGGAAAGAAGAAGTTCCAAAATTTTCATCGACGTTGAGGTGCCCAGATCCTGTCGTGATGCCTTCCAACTTATTCCCACGAATCGTATCCGTAACTCAAATCAGTGGCTCACCTTGTGAACCAGGAAAGAAGACACATACATCATGTATTGCCGAATTACTCTGTGGCCGTTGCAGGCTCTGTCGCTGCTGCAGCGGTGGGAGGGGCGGGCGTGGCTTCCTTCTCGGGCTTACGCCCAGTGATGACATAGCTATAAACCATCAGTATGGTTCACAGGAATGATCCAAAAGCCAACGTCAATTATGAACTTACACCGGGTAGTAGGCGTGGAAGTGTCTGTTCTTCAGATCCTTGCGCACGTCGATGAGGAAGATGTTGACCTCGTTACGCGTCCATTCGAGGGCGCGGGTGTAAGGCGCCATTACCATAGCCTCCAAACCGTTAGTGACGTTATCGTACGTCCAGGTGCCGATGTTTTTGTATCGCTGATCCTTAGGCCAGTCGTTGATTGGCCACTTGTGGAGTTTCAATCTAACGTCCACGAAGCCAACCTCAAGCATCATAGTCTTCAGGGACGGTAGGTCAAACCAGGGGCGTCCCATCTTCGCAGCCGCTTCCTTGAGCAAGATTGCCATCCTAGCGAACGCGCTGTCTTTGGGGAACGTGTTATCATCGGAGAAGGGCCAAACGTCTGCTTCCTGAAGCTCTAGCCAGCCGCCTGGTGTCAGGTTTCTGCGCTCATTATCAGTTGTGAAGATTATATAACTTCAATGCACTGTGAGCATGATGCTTACTCAAAGCACTTGGTAAGGTATATCTTCCAGTCGCTGACGGCCGAGGTCAGCAATCGACTGTGGATGTAGTCGAAAGGCTTCGAGTAGGTCCAATCCTCCTCTAGGTCATCGATCTCAAATGCGACGTTAGGGAGTGTACTAAGGATAGCATATTATTAGTAAGGTATGCTCTGAAAGGCTGTGATGGGGCAAGAACTGTTTCTCACAAAGTCGGCAAAGTATGAGAGAGATCTACTCCGAGAACCTGTTTAAACATCAGGTGAGTTGGCCAAATCTCCCAAAGAAGAAACATCACAAGCTTGTCATCAGGGCGACTAACCTCAGCCTCGGGATGTTCCTCTCCGAAATCAAGAGCCCAGATCCCTGTTCCTGTACCAACATCGAGGACTCTTCCGACTTTAGCGTTGGGATCGCAAGGGGGAGCTAGGCCGAGTCTATCATCCAGCGTATAGATCCAGATCTCGTGCAACATATCTGCCCGTGTGTGAAAACACCGCATCGATTAAGGACACGCTGACAATACCTAATCTCTCGGCTTCCCTTTCGTCGTTGGGCCAAGAGTATTCTGAGATTGATTAATCCAAGTTCACTACCCGCAGATATGGGCTATCTCACTGCCGTCTTTGTACCGATGGTAGGTTCTGCCATTCTCAATGCGGTATTCGAGAAGAGAGCTGCTAACACTGGTACTTGACGATGCGACCGCCTGGGTGATTGCAACATAAGCATATTAGTCTTGAGTCCATCCGCATCGAGTCGCATTTGTTTGGCATCCCAAAGGCTTCTTACCGAGATTTCCGATAGTCCGTCATCGGTAGCCTGATCATAGTCAGCACCAAATCTGAGCCTCGACTGATAATTAGACTTACCTCATCACCAGCAGCTGCAATCTGCACTTCCTGGTCCGCTTCAGCCATGTTTGTTCAAGGATAGGTTTCGAGAAAAGATTCCACTGGTCTAATACACAACTCCAAGAAAGACTTTCCAGAGAGTCATACAGAATTTATGGAAAAATGCAAAGTCGAGACCCGGCCGAGGTTTGGAGGCACACTCGTCCTTGTTGTGGCCGCACCAACATCCTGACTGCAACCCCTCTTCTTCAACAGGGGTTTGCAGCAACCAACAAACGAAAACCCGCATATGCGCCGTGAGAGTCTTTCCTCTTTCGATTAATTCTATGGAGCGAGGAAACTACGGCGGCGAATGAGAGACTCTCTGCATGGGTAACAATCGCACAGGTGAACAGGACGGACAATCTTCTCCTACACATCGACGTATTCCCGGCCCTGCTGCCTGTCTCCCCGGTCGTGGACCAGGGAACAGGTGGAACTGGTGGAACTGATGACATACCTGCGAAAGGCATTCCGGATGCGGCACCTTCCAACTTTGGTAAATGCTTTATTGAAGACAAACTCCATTACCGCCAGAAGCGAACAGCTTGGAACGTGGTCTCCTTGCAGAAATTTCTGTCACCAAAGCCCGCTGAAGATTCAAGGATATGCCAAGAAATAAGAGCCAGTACCGTTTTCCTCAAGATCGTCCTCACAGCGAAAAGATCCGATATATTCAGATGAACAATACAATTCAAATTCAATTCTTGACGCAAATCTGATTCTATTAGCATCGCTCGGTAATAGGATAAAAGGGTGGCCATCTTCCTCCGACTTGCCATCCACGCTCACGGCCCAATTTCTCTTTCACGACGACCTTTACTGTTCCTATCGTGTAATCCAGTCCATCATGAAGGTTCCGGAGAAGAATGCGTTGGTGCAAGTAAATATCGCGTTGTTCCCATGCCGGTGCTGTGCAAACGAAAGACTCTAGTCCCCAGTATTACTATCGAAACTACTCAAACCGGCGTCACGCTTTCTTATTTCACAACACCTTGCTTATCACTCTGATCGAGCACGCCATCAACATGGACGTCTTAGTCGCCATTCCCGAAGACGTGCGGCGAAAGTACTCTAATTACACGTCGACACACCCTCAGACCCGCTTTCATTGCTCTACATCTCCATTCTTCCTGTGCCCTTGTTCATCGACGGACTGGAATGGACCTTGCCGCTGCATGCGCTCTCGATATCCCGGATCTCAGATCTAATGGGAGGACCAGTTGCTCTCTTGTGGGTAGCTGTGTTCAAGCTCAAGTGTGTCAACATATCTAGTCGTTGAAGCGTCCGTGACAAGTCTGTTGTTAGCGTGGAACTCGGTCCAGGTGGCAGTGCTCGCCGAAGTCATAGCCTGTTTAAACCTCGTGCCCACGGCAAGTTATCTGCACCTGGCCCCTCTGCTGACACAGTTATATTATGCCAGAATGAGTCTCTTCTGTTTTGGCGTTCATTGACGTATGTCGTGGTCCCGGGTTTCGACCTCAGCGGTGTATCATCGGTTTGCTGCCTCTGCTTCAAGCGTCAAATCAGATAGTTAAAAAAGCGCAAGCGCGACCGCAACTTCTGCTTCTGGTTGAGCATTGTCTTGGTTATAGTCAGCAGCTGTCATGTGCCTATTACAAGAGTTGTTTGCCATCAGTTATTGGCAGACATGTTCGTTCAACTCCATTGTGGTGGACTTGACAAGTATTTGCAGGTGTTGGGCAATGGAGTCATTGCGACCTTCATTCAACAGCACTTTACAGATTCCTTGCGAAGCATTATGTTGTACGCAGTTACCAAGACCCTCGAACAAGACTAGGAGATCGAAGACGAAGAAGACGAAGAAGACGAAGAAGACGAAGAAGACGAAGAAGACGAAGAAGACGACGGTGATGACGACGGTGATGACCAGAAGGATCTCTTTCAGCAACTATGCCCTTGCCTACTGAGTAAGCTGTCAATGAGTACACGTACTACTCATCCTCTTATGTATATCAAACTTATTATGTTGCCCTCATTTGGAAATCTGGTTAAAGAAACAGGAGCAACGCATAGTAATTTTGAAAGCTTTGACTGGCGACCTAGGGCAGCAGCCAAAGCGAGATCTCGCGCTCGCGAGTTGGAAGCGAGCAGGTTACAGCAGGCGGGTCACCGAACTTCAAGCGGGGCCCGTGTTTGTTGAACAAGACAAGAGCAAACAACGCGGTTCAACGGCTAAATGAACCTCATCGACCAGGGCACGTGCAGATACCTCGGAGAGGAATAGTAATCACAGATGAGCTGGAGAACAGAGGGAAGCTATCAAGCTCGATGCATACCACAGAATAAGGTCGCCAAGTTTAAGCCGTCAGAACCCGTCCACAATCGGGAAGAAAACTACCTCCAAGCTTGCATCAAAGCCCACCGACACGGGGAAATATCCCAGTTCACTCCGCACCGGACCCGAAAATACGACCCCACATCGGCAACTACGTCCTCGTCCCGCCTCCGCGCTCGGAGACGGCGTCAATCTCCCCCGACCGCGACACCGCAACCACAAAAAGCAGAGCGTCATACCTCACTTACGCAACCAACCAGGCACCGCTCAAAAGCCACAAACAGGCACCTACCAACCAACACACACATACACCCAACCCAAGGCAGACACGGAAAAGGGTGCAGGCAGCATCCATCTACAAATGCGTCCCTCACGCCTCCGCACCCTCCTCCTCCCCCTCACTCGTCCTACCACCACCACCTCCCGCGCATTCTCAACGACGCCTCAGTCCTTCAAGTCCAAAATGCCGCCACCACCGCCAAACCCTCCCCTCGCCTACACCACCCTCCCCAAACTAAACCCCTACCTCGTCCCCTACCACCCGCTCCCGTCAACCACAGACACGGACCCGCGCACCCTAGTCACGCACCGCCTGGCCGTTGGCGCCGCCGTCCTCAACCTCGCCGCCACCCCGCCAAAGGTCCTCGTCCTCCAGCGCAGCGCCCTCGAAAAGGCCCTCCCGCACAAGTGGGAACTCCCCGGCGGCGCCGCCGAGGCCGTCGACGGCAACCTCGTCGCCTCCACCACCCGCGAGCTGTGGGAGGAGACGGGCCTGCGCGCCAAGACGGTGCTCGGCCTCGTGGGCAGCTACGAATGGGCCGGCTTCGGGCCCAGCCTCGACGCCCCCGTCGGGCCCGGGGAGCAAGGGTTCGCGCTGCCCGGCGGCGGCGTCGGGATCCGCGGCAAGCCGGTGGAGGTGCCGTCGGTGCAGACGGGCGGTGAGGGCGAGAGGTCGCCGGAGGCGGCCAAGGGTCGCGACGCGTGGAGGAAGTTTACGTATCTCGTCGAGGTTGAGACGGACGGCGAGGGCGACGCCAAGGTCGTGATTGATCCCGAGGAGCACGAGGCTTTTGTTTGGGCTACGGAGGCGGAGGTGCAAGCGGATCGCTCTGGGAAGTTCCAATTCGACTGGACTTCGGAGCATCAGAAGGCTGATATTTTGAGAGCATTCGCGATGGCCAAGAAGAATTAGGAACCACGAGCATGGGGAAGTGGCATAGACACAGCATGATTAGAAGCGAGCGGACCATCGCCGCTTATTCAGGCATCTAATATAGGTGTAGTAGAAAGCATGCCTAACTTCGCCTTCGAGGCTCTCCTACTTCTTCTTAGACCCCTTTCCACCACGACCGCCCTTGCCCTGCTGGCCCTTGGCACCGCCGGCGCCACTGCTACCACCAGCCATCATCACCCTCACCTTGCCAACAGGCACGCAGTTGAAAGCCTCCTCGGGCTTGAGTGCCTTGATCAACTCAACTTCCCTCGGCCACATCTTCTCGCTGTCCTGCGAACGCTCATCAAGAACACCCTTCTTGGCAGACACTGCCTTCCACGTCTCAAACACCTCCTTGACAGCTTTGCCCTTCTTCACCGCACCGGGCTGGAGCTTCGCCTTGTACTTGAACTTGCCCATAGCATTCCACGGTGCACAGACAGGAATGGCCTCGAGAATCTCGTCCCCTGGCAGAGGTGTGCCGACGAGGTTGTCCAACAGAGTCATTTTACCCATCTCCTCGGCGTCGAGCACCTCGATACCCTCTTCATTCATCAGACGACGGACCTCTTCGTGCTCGGCAATCTCCTTCTGCTGGCGCTGGTGCTGCGCGCGGCGTCGTTCCTTCTGAGCAGCCAGCTCCGCCTCTTTCTGGGCCTTCAGCTGCGCCTCGGCTTCGGCTCTTTGCTTGCCACGAGCAGAACCATACAAGGTCTCGGCAATAGCCCTGTCATCCTCGTCTTGGTCCTTGTACTTGGCGGCAATCTTTTTCGCCTTACCCTTCTGACCTCGCTTGGCAGGTCGCGCCTTGTCGCCGGCTGCCGTGCTTGTTTGAGGGCCGGGCACAGCAGCCTCGGCTGGAGTAGAAGCTCCAGTAGCTCCCTCATCTGTACCATCTTCTTCCTCCTCTTCTTCTGATGTCTTGGTAGCTTCCTTTTCTCGAGCTTCAGCGGCCTTGTCTTCGTCAAGCATCAACTGCTCAACTTCATCGACTGGAGGCTCGACTGCATCAGCGCCAGAGGCCGACTCTTCAGTTGCGAGCTTTTCCTCTGAGTCATCTTGCCCGTTCTGCCTGAAGCCCTGAAGAGGGTTGTCACGAGGCTTCTCGTCATCCTCCTCGTCACCAGATCCGATGTCAGACGCGTCATCGATTTCGTCGTCCTTGGCTCCAGCATCTCCCGCAGCGTCGACCCCATCTGGCGCAGACGCTGAATTAGCAAAGCCGTCATACAGCCTGTGCTTCACGTGTCTGGCCTTGCTCTCTTCGCTAATCTTCCACATGATACCAAAGCCCAATAGCAATTGCGCCGGGGGCAAGAAGTTCTTCTGGCCGCGAACCATGAAACTTCCAGTGGGGAGATACTCTCCGGTCGGGGCAGACTTGGACACCTGGTCAGCTTTCACCCACCAGGCACCCATTCCTGCCTTGGAATCCCAAGCACTCGAGCTGCAGACGGCCAAAGTGCCAGCCTGCGCCAAGGTCGAGGGAGGGATGGGGGCATCGGGGTCGCTAGG